TGCCTCCCCTGCAACCAAAAATTATTGGTCCCAGTATATCAGCAGCTGTGAGGCTGAGAAACCAATTTAAATGAACAGGCTCATCTTTCACAGAAATTCTCATTTCCTAACACATGTTGTCTCTCTCTTCTTTGCTCAGATGTGCAAACACCACCCCAAAAGTCTGGGAAATAAGGAGGACTGAAAAGGACAGTATCATTTCTTTTATTCAAATTTTATTGGAAGTTTACAAATGTATTACAGACATCAGTAAAACATCATATCCACTTTACAGGGCACAGATCTCAAGCAAAATGTTCACAACAGTCTCTGGCAGAGCCCACACCAAAGGCCTGTTGCAGACCTTCCTAACGAATAGCTTGACACTCGACACATAACAAGGACTCTGGCCTGTTTCACCTTCTAGGGCCATTTGAGGTCTTGTTTATGCACTCAAAATTAAAGCAGGAGCAGGGTAAAGCAATCCTGTGAAGGAGAGAATGTGTTCAGGAGGGAGAAAAAAGCCAACATTGTAATTTTGAAGGAAAATGGAGGACACGTTGATCTTAAGTTTTGTCAGGGTCCATGGCAGAATCAAAACACTTTTCAGAAAAATATGGAATCAACTAGAGAGGCTTGAGAACAGACTGTACTAATGAATCACTCTCTGTAAAAATTTCAAAAAAGCTTGGTCAGCGACCTAGTGAGTGTTCAAAGCTAAATACCCAGGGTTAGAGATGTCTCAGGAAATTCTCATGATCAAACAAGGTAATTTTTCCTCTTCATTTTACGGATTCATTCTCTCTAAATCACGAAGTATTTTCTAACACTACATGTACAATTTCCCCCTCTCCTCTCTAGTCCCTGTGGGGAATGCTAGTTTTGTCAGCAGGAAGTAAGCTTATTAAATAACATAGCTCCCAACAGTGAGTCATGTTTTATGGGAGTCTTTGTTGACTGGGCTACCACTATGAGAAAGTGAAAAAGGAATCCAATCCTTTCTTTATCCTGACCTTGATGACTGCTTCCAAATGGCCAAACAAGCTCTGGTGTCTTCTGAGGTCCCAGAGTGACAAAGCACTCGAGGCAAACCTCCCGTTCTTTCCAGTTCTCTTGCCCTTAAATGAACCTCAAAAGGCAGCAAAGTGAAACTGCCTTCAAACATCAGCAGAGCCGGCGAATGAGTTCTGCATATGAAACTGTGTCCACAGAGCCCATTTCAAGTCCCTTCTGGTATGAAGTATTAAAAGAACTAGTTCAGTTTTCCACTGTCCCTTAACATAAATAGATCCTTCCTTCTTAGGCTTTGACATCTGGTTTCTGTTAGGCAGAAAAGCATAGGAAGAGTACAATAGTTGTGTTATTGCTTGTAAGAAGGTGGGATTAGATGAAGAATAATATGAACCATTATTTGATCTCTACAAAAGGGTCGACTGAACGTTGTCTATAGATGACAAAGAACAAGAGATTAGAAATGGAGGCCAACGAGATCTGTCTTCATCTGATCTAAAGGTATTCCCTTCCATTGGCACCCACAATCTGGAAAGAGTGGAGTCTCACAATTACTATGGATGAATGACACTTCCTGAAGTTTCTGGTGTACTATTTTTGGTTAATGCCAAGAGAGCCCACCACTGGAAGATAGGTAAGAATCAATTTGTACCACAACTGATCAATAGTTCCTGGCTGGTTGGCGCATCACAAAGATTGATTTGACAGTTATGGTAGGTTTTTTGTTGATGTTATTCTACCTGAGAGTCCTGGTGGTATTGTGGTTAACTGCTTGGCTGCTAACTGAAAGGTGAGTGGTTTGAACCCACTCCAGGGGAGAAAGATGTTGCAGTCTGTGTCCAGAAAGATTTACAGCTTTGTAAATCCTCTGGGATTATTCTAACCTGTCCTAAAAGATAGCTATGAGTCAGAATTGACTCATAGCAAAGTTTGTTTCTTTCTTTGTTTTCTTCCAAGTTCTGGCTGAACTTATCTGCTCCTGTAAAGATTTATAGCCTTGGAACCCCTGCACAGGGTCGCTATGAGTTGGAACTGACTCCACGGAATATAATCACTGCTACCACCAGTAAGTATCCAAAAAGCAGAAAGCTGTTACGAGAGAAAACAAACAATAACCTTGTTGCAGTGAAGGAGCTTCCTATGTAACCGAGCAAGAGCTGCCTCCAGGTCTGACATGGAAAACACAGAAGAGCATGTTTACTCAGCTGGCTGGGGTTAGAAAGGAAAGATCAGAGAAGAAAAGGTGAATGTTGAAAGAAGATGTCAAGAAAAAAAGACCAACAATTTCACAAGAAATTTCTTGGGTAGTGGGGTTTGAATCTACTCAGATCTAGAAATTGGCTTCCAAAACACCAGCCTCTAAAAATCCATGTGACACACATGATGAGTTACTATGAGTATGAGTTGACTCTATGGTAACTAACTGGTAACTAGTAGCTTTCCTCCATCTGCATTCTTTGTAAAGTACCTGGCTGGATTTGGGGAGAGGCAGGGAGAAGAAATCTACAGAGAGGGCCTTGCTTGCAGACAGTTTGACCTTGAGGTTTAGATCTCCACTAAATCTTAGGCTCTGACCATTTAGTTCCCTGGATGCTCCCTGGGCGAGCAGCTAGATCTGAAATTGCTCCTAGTTCCCTTGAGTATTGGCTATGTGTCAGTATCTAGGTCATCTCCTTTCTGCTGATGGTGGCTGAAGTCTTATTTGGGAAATGGAAGAGATACTCTGAAAAGCACAGTCTTAGAAAGCAACTTTTACTGGGAGAATTTCTTTCATTGGATTTGGGGCCACAGAAAACAGACTTATTTCCATCTCTCTGGTAAGTGATCCACTTGCTTTTTTCTCTCTTTGCTTTTTCCAAAAATGCCTTTTTCATCTCATCAATCAGAAAACTCAAATCTCCAAATTGGGCTCGTTCAATTTCTACCAGAAACTCACCACTTTAGAAGTGTGGTGTTACATGTTATTTCTTAATCGATTTGCCAAGCAGTTTACAAACTTACTATACAAACGTTAATAGTTAATTCTCCAGAGGCTCAAATAATTAATGAAGCATTTAGATATGAAGATAGCATGCGGAAAAAAGCCACAACCAACATTTGCATTGCTTTTTAAAAAAATCAGTGACAATGACAAATGTCATATAAATACCTGAAAAGCAAATTATTTTTAATACATCCGGAATGGAGTGCCCTTCCCACATCTTTTACAACCTTCCTTTCCCCAGACCCACGTGGGATGGTGTCTGAAAAGCCACTCTTCACATTCTCTCCATAAGAAAATACTAGAAAATGTTAACTACTATACTGAAAAGAGACCACACACTCACCTCACCATGGCAAAGGGCCACTGAGATACACCGTGTACTACATCTCACTACAGGCGGGTCCTTACGGATGATTTCAACTGCCACAAGCCATTAAGGGGAGGAAGCGGATGGATAAAAAGCAAATGCTTCATTGTGAAATGAAGCAAGGTAGGAAGTTTTATTTGAGTATAAATAGTACAACCATTAAGTGTCTTCTTTTAAGCAAACTCACTTTTGAGCCCATTTTCTGTCTGATCAACAATCCGCAATGTTCAAAGTGGAAATCTCCCTCTTAACAAAGCTGGTTTTCTAAAGTCTCCTGAGCAGCTCAATCTTCTGTGTGAGTAATCCAGATACTCTGGTTACTGAATTTATTAGACTGGATTCTTTCTACTGGCACTGGGGACTATTCAAGGCAGCTATTACCTCTCCTCTAGCTCATTTCCAGAAATTCTTCTAGTCCCTGACCTTCCTTCATAGTCCCTTTCAGCTCTGACCCTTGATCCGCTTTCTGTTTCCAAATTGCCTTGCTCCTTCCTCCTCCAATCAAGATGTGTAACTAAGAGCACATCATCATTCCCAGACTCCCACCTCCCCCAGGATCTTCCTGCCGTTCCAATTCCAAATGCCAAACGAAGTTCATTTGCTTTGAGGACAATTGGTTGCCAGGCTAAGGTGGCAGTTCAGTCTGCCTTGATAAAGGAAACCAGATAATACAGTCCAGGAAACATGAGCACCAAAAATAATGCCACATTCAAAACAACGTCATGCTGACATCACACAATGGTACCACTCACAGTCACTTCAATTTTCTCCAAGGGATAGATCAACAGTAGGTAACTTCAATGTTCCCAGCAGGGATGGCATTTCTCACGGAACTTTACTGACACTGGGTAGTTTCTCTAATTGGCAAAAGGTACGTCTGCAATGAAAAAAAACAACAACAACAAAAAAGAGCAAAACAAATTGCTATCACTTTGTAGAGAACCAATTCTACCAAGAGTGGGAACCGCTTTAAGGAAAACTCCTTAAGAAGGAATGAAGCATAAAAAGCTTTAGGTATAATTGTTATTTTCTTTTTTCAACCACAAAAAGTCAAATTGAGTATGTTCCTTTGAACAAGGCCTCACTAACATGTAACAAATTTGTATAGAAAAAAAAAAAAAAAAAGGTGGTCCTGGCCCACCTTTACTACTTCAAGACAATGCTGAATGTGCATGCAAGTCCCCACTGGGTCCTACGATATAGAAATTCCTTTGATATTACAAAATACAAAAATATTTTATCAGAACTCTCATTTACATTGCATTTACAATGGACATGTAAATAACTTAGTCTTGGGTCCTGGCTAATAAAACAAATTACTTACTAGGGGAAAAAAAAAAAAAGGGTCCTAACAGGGAAAGAACCAGAGAAGAGTACAAGCGAGCAGAAAAGGCAGTTCAACACAGCACTGGCGGAAGGAAGGTGGCCAACCCTGGCCTCGAGAAAGTCTAAAGTGTTTCCAAAGTGAAATGTGCAAATAATATTCAACATGCCAACATCTGAGTCAATCTGTAACCTTGCCTGCTTCAGCTGAGAGCACTTCTCCTCTTCCTCCCATCAATTTCCCCCCACAAGCACTTTTTAAATTTACTACAGTGCAAGTTTCCGAATTTACATTCTGAGCTCCCATCTTCCCGCATCTCGCCAACCCCAATGATATTAAGAAATGATACAGTTTTTGCTCTTTTGTCTTTTCCTGCTGTGCAACAGTCCTCTGCCTCCTAGTGTGGAGGACTTGGGGATACCATAAGAGCTGTATTTGTGCAGCAGCTCGTCACTGGTGACATATCGCAGGCGGGCTGGCTGGGGGATTGGTTCTCCTAGGAAATAGCCCTCGTTGTCAGACTCCGAAGATGAAGAGCAAGTGGAACACCAATCATACTCAGCGAAGTAGGGTCCCCATCGCTCTCCAAAGGCATTCTGCAAAGCCAGGTCCGATACAGTCCTCGGGCACTGACCATACAGGTCCCTCCGGGACCCCTGCCCCAGGCTCTCCTGGAAGCTCCGCTGGCGTATGAATTGGTCATAGTCCTCCCTGGCTCTCAAGGGAGGCCTTTCTTTTAACCGGGAGATGGCCTCACGTTCACTGGCCAGGTGGAGGGCGTTGTCCGATCGAGAGCGCCGGGAACGCCGGGACCGGTGAGGTCGAAAGCGGCGGTTGTCATCACGTGAAGTAGCTCGTCTTCGGGTGCGTTCACTCATCGGCTGGATCCTCACGCCCTCCTGCCCTGCCAGATTGCTACCTGCCATCCCTCCATCAAAATCAAAGCTCTGGTGCATCCTCCCATGGGACTGCAGGTCTCGGTACCCGATGGGGTTGCTGAGCTGGTGGAGGTTCCCCTCCATCTCCTGGTACTGCTGGGCAGAGAGCAGGCTGCGGACTGACTCCGCACTACGAAACTGCATGGATGAGTTCAGTGTGCCCATATTGCTCAGCTTCTCCGAGACGTTCATTCCAGAGTCTTTGCTGAGGTCAGGCATAGAAAATCGGGACAGATGCTCCTGGCGCTTGGCACCACCATCAGCGGAGAGACCTGGGGAAGAGGAGAGGGCCACAGAGGTTAATACAAACGTGCAGCAAAAAGGGGTCACTGTAAGGCAGGATGTCAACGCGCTGGCGGCACTGTTCTGGATCTTTGTCTATTCAGAGTCACGAGGCACTCTTAGGGGCTGTGGACAGAGGCGTTCTGAACTCCACAGAGGGGTAGCATCCACCTAGAAGGGTCGCTTGTGTAAAATGCTTTCAGGTCAAACAGGATGCATTTTACTAGTTGCAGATTTCCTCCAAAACCTCATAAATTCACTTTCCTTGCTTTAGAATGTCTCTTTACAAAGAGATTCAATGACCTCCGATTCTGATGATGAACTATAAGCTATGTAGGACACACATTTTGGATGAGGAAGCATTAAGCTATAATGCCCAAGCAGTTTCTGGCAACTTTCACCTTAGAGTCTGTTGTTGTCATTAGCTGCCATCAAGTTGGCACCTGCTCAAGGTGACCCCATGTACAACAGAACAAAATGATGATACGTGGTCCTGGACCACCTTCACAATCATTAGTATACTTGAGTGCATTGTTGTGGTCTCTCTATTTTGAATACGTCCCACCTATGGGATTCATCTGCTGGCATTATATTGGGTACTATACTATTGTCTCCCATATGGCTTTCACTGGCTATTTTTTGGGAGCATACCTCCAGACCTTTCTTCCTAGTCTACCTTCGTCTGGGTACTCCACTGGAACCTGCCCACCATAGATGACCCTACTGGTATTCTGAATACCAGTGGCATAGCTTCCAGTATCACAGCAATACACAAACCAACCCAATATGACAAACTGACAAGACAAGTGGTGGGGCCTTGTTCTCCATACTGGATGCTTTCATTTCTCTGTTAGTCTCCAGTGCTCGCCTGCCCTCTGTACTGGTCTAGCTGCCTAGCTCAAATGTCTTGGCCACTAAGTGACTCCTAGATATAATTCAGGCTTCTCTGAGGGAATTTGCTCTCTCAGACTACTGAGCAAATCACTGCTCCATGTTTCTAAACGGGTCCCCAGCTGCCAGACAATGGGACCACGGGGCATCTCATCTTCCCCGGGGGAGGCATTTAAAAAACATATAGCAGTTGCCCTGCTTTTCTTGTTGTTGTTGTTGTTAAGTGCCGTTGAGTTGGTTCCGACCCAAAGTGACCTGGATAGGCTGGTGAGCTTGAACCGCTGACCTTGCAGTTCCAACAACTTTGTAGTCTGACGCATTAATGCCCAGCGCCACACCAGGACTCCTTTCTTAAGTGGTGTGAAATGGGCTCCAAGTATCACTGAGACGAAAACCATTTTGAAGGCATTAGGGGATTTTGATTTTCTCTAATAACTTCCATTTTGCCCATCTTAAAGCAGGACTCTTTATGGAGGTCCAGGTGGCAAAGTCTCCACATTTTCCACTCATTATGCATTAAAAGAAGTCCTGGTGTGGCGCTTTGGGCTGATGCATCAGACTGCGAAGTTGTTTGAACTGCAAGGTCAGTGGTTCAAGCTCACCAGCTGCTCCTTGGAAACCCTATACGGGTTGCTATGGGTCGGAACCGACTTGACGGCACTTAACAATATACATTAAAAGGATAAGCAATTTTGCCATTTCTGGTTGTAAACAGTATCTCTTTGGGCCCACTATCACCCGTTACAGTGATTATTCCTCACCATCTACCAACAACCTACAAATCAATGTTATTGAACACTTTGGAAAAGGATTTGGCATTATCTATGGAAGCTAAGGAAAGGGCTCTGGGAGCACAGTGGTTACAAATCGGGCTGTGAACCTTAAGGTCAGCGGTTTGAAACTACCAGCTGTTCTGTGGGAGAAAGATGAGGCTTTCTGCTCCCGTGAAGATGTACAGCCTTGGAAACCCTGTACAGGGGCGCTCCGAGTCGGAACCTATTCCACGGCACATAACCAACCAAATGGAAGCTAAGGAGGATAAAGTGTGGTGCCATAGGATAAGCACTCAACCTCAAGGTCAGTTTGAACTGCAAGGTTGGTGGTTCAAACTCACCAGCTGCTCCTCGGAAACCCTATGCAGGGTCACTATGAATTGGAACTAACTCGATGGCACACAACAACAACAACAATAGAAGCTAAATACACAAGGGATTTTCAGAAAGTTTGCGGAAAGATAATGGAAATCTTCCACTAACTTTCTGGAACCCCCTTATTTGCCAAGGTGAAGTTTTCATATTTGTGTGCTTTACTGTATATAAGTTATATCTCCATAACACAGTTTAAAAATAAAAAGAGCCCGGTCTACATAATGAATATGTCTTTGAGGAAATGACTCTGCCAATCATCATTTTGATTAATTGATTGCTTATGTGCCGTGGAGTCGGTTCCGACTCATAGTAAGCCTGCATAGGGTCTCCAAGGCTGTAAATCTTTACGGGAGCAGAAAGCCTCATCTTTCTCCCATGGAACAGCTGGTAGTTTCGAACTGCTGACCTTGTGGTTAGTAGCCTAACTCGCAATCACTACACTTGCCAACCGTCATACTTTCTAATAATTTTTTTTTTCTTTCTTTTTAAAATGGTATTACCGGGATAATTTTCAGGGCCAGAGGAATTGCGACTACTCAAAGTAGAAACTCCTGCTTTCCCTGTTGTGTATCTCTGGCAGACAAATCACAAAAGCTGACTCAAAACATCCGAACACATCCAGAGCTGCCCAATCTGAAAGAAGTGAGGTGAACGAATCACTAGGATGAAAACTGAGTAAGTGGAAGGAAGAAGCAAAGCCAACAATCTTCAAACTCACGTCTAGAAACCAAGTTATTGAGGCAGGCCCTGCAATCTTTGCAAATCTTTCCACCAGCTAGCCCTTAAATGGAACCATTGTTGTTGTTAAGTGCGTCGAGTCGGTTCCGACTCATACTGACCCTGTATACAGATCTGAGGAGCAGCTGGTAGGTTTGAAGTCCAGGGCTTAGCCTACAGCCACACCATGAGTCAGCATATAACTTAATCAGTTCACCTGACTGTGACTCATGGATACCCCAGGTGGACTGAAGTGGAACTGTGACACACAGGGCTTTCAATGCCTGACTTTTTATAAGTAGATTCCCAAGCCTTTCTTTTGAGACACCTCGGGGCATACCTTTTGGTTAATAACAGAGCATTTATACCACCAGGGATTCCATAAACAATCAGTTGCTGTTGTTTAGTGCTGTTGAGTCAATTCTGACTCATAGCAGCCCTGTATGGGGTTTCCAGGGAGTGACTGGTAGGTTTGAACTGTCAACTTTGCAGTTAGCAGTCCCGTGCTTATTGTACAGTGATCTAGCAAATATAGATTCACAAACATGTTGTTTTTCTGAACGTGGCTTTTATAAGCTCCAAAATGAAGTACACTTCCATGAACATCCTGCGTGTGAACAGATTCATAGTTCAATGAAGTAAAAGATGCTTTTGCCCTCTCCTATTGTGCTTCTTTACCTTGAGAAATCTCAGGAAATCTTTAACCAATTCCCCTAAAAAGAAAAGAGCTCTGGAAAGAATAGGAGGGCCCTATTTTTACCCAAACATAAATTGTTCCTCTGGGGGAATGTGTGGCTGAGATTGGAAATGCTCATTCCAGAAAGAAGAACTATCTATCTTCTTACTAACTCAGATTTTTCTCTAGGGTCTTGTTGCATGCAGGCCATGAATTGAGAGGCCAATATTGTCCACCGATGAGGAATAGTTATGTACTTGTCTCTTAAAAGGGAGGTTCTGTGGCTAACTTCATCATGGGCAAAATCCAGAATCCTTCTTTAGCCTTCAGGTCCTACGTGACTTGGCTCCGGCCTCACTCTCTAAGATCATCAACCAAACGCTCCCTTTTCCTCTCTCGGCTTCAGTAGAACTACATTATTCCTTCTCATCATCCTCAGACACACCAATGAGCTCATCCCAAACCTCTTGGAAAACCCTCCTCTTTGCATGACTGGCTTCTTTTGATCTATAAGGCCCTCAACAACGAATGTTACCTCTTCAGTGCTATCTTCCCTGAATGTCGTCTCTAAACTAGCAAAGTTAACCTCCACCAACCAGTCACCTCGTAGCACTTGATCTTTTCTTATGGTGCCCACCATGCCTACTCTGAGTTAAGTATGTAGGTAAGGTTCTTTCCCCTAAAGAACTGGGGAAAGAACCCTGGTGGTACCGTGATTTAAGTATTACTTGCCTGCTAACTGAAAGGTCAGTGGTACAAACAAGCCCATCAGCTACTTTGTGAGAGACTCAACCAGCCTGCATAAATATTGTTGCTGTTGTTACGCACCGCTGAGTCAGTTGCTACTCATATCGACCCTGTATAGGGTTTCCAAGGAGCGGCTGGTGAGTTTGAAACACCAACTTTGCAGTTCAAACCAACAGCACCACGCCAGGACTGCTTGATTCATAAATATTACAGCTTCGCAAACCCTATAAGGCAGCCCTCCTTTTTCCTATAGAATCAACTTGACAGCAATGAGTGTGAGAGCAGGGACCTTATTCCCTTTCCCACTCTCTCTCCAGGTGCTAACACAGTACCAGGCACCCAGTTGGTGCTAAATAAATATTTGCTAAGTAGAAGAAAAAGTAAATGAATCCTCAAAGCTAGTAAAGAAAACAATCACCCTCTGACTTTCAGGAGACCAGGGCTTACAGAACAATGGACTAAAATTCAAATGAGTGGGATTCCAAACATCAGGAACCAAAATACCATGATCACACCTGCCAATCTCACTGTCTCTTGTGGTTCATTATGTGGCACACCATCTGGGGTTACTCCAATTTTAAAGTTGAAGAACGTGTGATTTATAATTAGCTCCCCAATCTGCAAAAATGTTCCGCCTTATTAATCACAACTCTGGAGATCTGTTGAAATTAGCAGCTCCCATGTCCCCATGATGAAACTGTACTATTTCAACTCAAACCCCTATGTGAAAAACACTCACTCCCTAAGTATGAACAGAACTGGAGAGCTACTTCCTGGCTGGATGAGTAAGGGCAATTTTTGAACCTCTAGA